TTGTTCCTTAAACAGCTCATCAGACTAAAGTTTTCCAGTTTAAAATATGGCGACATACTACGGTGTAGTAAGTAATAAGATCTGATATAAAATTCAGACAGTTGATTAGATATAATGTACGCGATTGTTGTGCCTGTTAGTGACTCAATTTAGTCTCTTTTGATTTTAACTTATAAGTTTAAAAAATCAGGAAAGGAAATGAAACATAAAAAAGGAAAACAAACTTGAAAAAGTCAAAATATATACATGATGTCATACTTCTATGTGCGTGATTTATTCCCAAACTAAGTACATCATCATATAATTTAACTTGAATCTAAGAATTGATTATATTGTTATCATCCTATAACATGGAAAATGATGCCTCTTTGGTTGAATAGCAAAGTTGCGAAGTATTTTCGCAGAAAGGAAAACTCCGACAAAGAAGTAAAAATAAATTGAATTTTAAGTGTATACTTTTATGGTTAATACACGGATTTGAACCAGAATAGAAAATGAGCGTACTCTGTCTAAAATGAGCGTACTCTCTGTCTAAAATGAGCGTACTCTCTGTCTAAAATGAGCGTACTCTCTGTCTAAAATGAGTGTACTCTCTGTCTAAAATGAGTGTACTCTCTGTCTAAAATGAGCGTACTCTCTGTCTAAAATGAGTGTACTCTCTGTCTAAAATGAGCGTACTCTCTGTCTAAAATGAGCGTACTCTCTGTCTAAAATGAGTGTACTCTCTGTCTAAAATGAGTGTACTCTCTGTCTAAAATGAGCGTACTCTCTGTCTAAAATGAGTGTACTCTCTGTCTAAAATGAGCGTACTCTCTGTCTAAAATGAGCGTACTCTCTGTCTAAAATGAGCGTACTCTCTGTCTAAAATGAGCGTACTCTCTGTCTAAAATGAGTGTACTCTCTGTCTAAAATGAGCGTACTCTCTGTCTAAAATGAGTGTACTCTCTGTCTAAAATGAGCGTACTCTCTGTCTAAAATGAGTGTACTCTCTGTCTAAAATGAGCGTACTCTCTGTCTAAAATGTCTAAAATGAGTGTACTCTCTGTATAAAATGAGCGTACTCTCTGTCTAAAATGAGCGTACTCTCTGTCTAAAATGAGTGTACTCTCTGTCTAAAATGAGTGTACTCTCTGTCTAAAATGTCTAAAATGAGCGTTCTCTCTGTCTAAAATGAGCGTACTCTCTGTCTAAAATGAGCGTACTCTCTGTCTAAAATGAGTGTACTCTCTGTCTAAAATGAGCGTACTCTCTGTCTAAAATGAGTGTACTCTCTGTCTAAAATGAGTGTACTCTCTGTCTAAAATGAGTGTACTCTCTGTCTAAAATGAGTGTACTCTCTGTTCTTATTCTTCGTTTTGTATCTTTTCTGTGTGTATGTATTTGTTATACGGTTTAGAACCGTTAAGATAAGCACAGAAAACTTTTTTTTCTGATAACGGACTGGCTTAAGGACACAAACTTATAGACATATATATATGTAATCAACATAATGCCTTCCATTGAAACATCAATTGATATGCTCTCTCGGAGTAAAGAATTTTAAATCTAAGATCAATACTTATGGGAGAGGGTTGGGGTAGGGGGAGGGGGTGTTGAAGGAATAGGCTCGATCTGTCCGGTGTTTTCTAGGTGTTGTTTAGTATACGGCAATTATCTATTACTAACACATTAACGAAGTCATGCTATATTCACAGCCATGTGATTTCGGATTAATTCATTACCCTAACCGGAATTCGCGGCTATAAAATCCGCTCAATCAGTGAATCCGCCTTCCCTTGGGAGCGGTAAAGATAGGACGAAATCGTGACAAGTAAAAACCTCCCAGGTATCACCTCAGTGACATGGTCAGTCAAAGCTAGGTGTTCGCTGACCGCTCTACTGACCATTTGAACAAATGATCTCTTCCACCAATCAATAAATTCAATTGGTCAGTGTCATTTCATCTAATTATACAAATAGACAACTTCTTGAAGGAATCATATTCAGAGACGTCTATAATTCATGTGTTATATATTTCTGTTTATACTGGGTCACGTGCTTTCCAAGTAGACAGTGAATCTGCAGGATTTAAGTAATTGAGAAGGTGGAGGTATACTCGCATACTTACAGCTGTACAATTTACTTCATTGTAGGTTTAATAGCTTTTGCATACATTTTTATTAGCATAAGCACTATTGATAACCTGTGAGATACCACTTTGTATATAACGTATAATATTCTACTTATATATTATATATATAGTATTCTACTTGTATTTATATATATAATATTCTACTTGTACATTGTATATATAATATTCTACATATATATTATATATATAATATTTTACTTGTATTTATATATATAATATTTTACTTGTACATTATATATATATAATATTCTACATATATATTATATATATAATATTTTGTACATTATATATATAATATTCTACTTATATAATATATATATAATATTCTACTTGTACATTATATATATAATATTTTGTACATTATATATATATATCATATTCTACTTATATAATATATATTTAATATTCTACTAGTACATTATATATATCATATTCTACTTATATAATATATATATATATAATATTTTACTTGTATGTTATTTTTTGAAGTATATCGTTAAAACCTTTAGAGTTAAAAAAATTATCAGATCTTAACATTGGCATCGAGATTTGTTGCTTCAATTTAGGTATTATGACGTCACAATGGGTCATTGATCCGGGTACCTGTTAGGACTTCACATGACTGTGAAATAACGTTGCAAAACAGCCCGAGATTATACGCAAGCTATCTGCGTAAAATGACTATGCAATTGTTAGTATATTGCCTTTTCGGTGCTTATGTGTATCATAAATAGGTTTATGATAAACTTAATAGCAACAAGTACTTGAATATTGTTTAAACATATCATATGCACGCGTGGTTTAACCGGACTGATATTTGAATAAGTATCTTATTTGAAAGACGATAGGACTAAAACACATCCAGTGGCTGTATTGGAAGGCGATCATAGGAGTCTGAGTAATGACACCACACAAAGCGCTTCCAGTAACGACGTATCATATAACGTATTTTCCACAGTCAGAGGGAGAGTCATAAAGAGGATTTCTCTCTATACCCTTATGAAAGAGTGAAGCACAGTACTTGATATCTGTGGACAACATATTTTGTTTAAATTTTATTTTCAAGCCATAAGACAACAAAAATGAAATCTCCTCGTTCTCCTCGCACCTCCCTTCGTCGTCGTCCTCTCCCTCCTACTCGTTGTCCTCGTCGTCCTCCTTGATTGAAAAGTAAAATGTTCAGCCCTCCCTCCTCCTTCTGTTTTTCTTTACAGATGACGTCGAAAAATGACTTGCTGTGAATACAATACATTAATACAATACAATACAATGCAGATTTTAATCTCCAAAGAACCCGTGTACTGTATCACTTCAGACTATAACAATTGTATGATAATCACGTTCGAGCTCCCATAGAATATACATGGTATAATGTTGTTTTTAATAGTCATTGTTTTTGCAGACTGAATTTCACTGGTTTACTTTACGTGGTTTCAGGAAATAAAACAATGGGCGGTCACCATGGTAAACAAGTAAGAGCAACTTCCTAATGACGTTATAATTTCATGATAGCTTGCACACGTTATTCCTTTGCTTGAGTGATAATTTATATGACATTTTCAAATCCCGTTTATGGGGCTGGTGCACCTCCCTGTCTAGATTTTGATGTTTCTATCAATCACTGTGGATTCTCTTCATTCGTCTTCTAGGCTTCAAAAATTAGGTCCTTATTATCTTACAATATCATTAACGAATCCTAGAAGGGAGAAATGGCTGCACGATGCAGTTTAATTCATTGTTTGGTTCTACTGTATCTTATTCCAAATTTGTTTTAAAAGGTGTTTTACACTTTTGTATCCTAAGTATAATATTTATACACAGGACTTCCTTAGGTACTTGGTAATTCTCCTCCCCATTATGTGATCAGTGACATAATGAAGATTCCCCGACGTTCTTCGTTCACACCTGACATGTTATATTCAACTTACACCCCGGCAATAACAAACAACACCTCGGGGGTTGTGTACGGCTTTCTAAGTCCCCGGATCTCTCATCCTTGCCCTAACACCATCTTTTGCATTTTACCTCCTAAACAGAAACTGTATAAGAAAAAAAATCATATCAAGGCAGATAGTCGTAGCCAGATTGTCTTATCTAGATATCACACGACACGTGATCTTTTTAGAGAACCATCAGAATTTTAAATCATTTCAATTACAAAAAAATATGTTATTACGTGTGTCAATTTCTGATGACGTCATACGAAAAAACATGAAACTGTAATCTTATTTAATAGCAAGACAAGAACATTTGAATTACCTTGCCGTGCATTCAACAAATGATTGGTAATGCGCTACTTTTTCCAAAAAGATATCGGTGGACGCCAAATATTTATCTATAAATGACTTATCTAATTCAAGTTATCTCTATCAATTCTTAATATAGTTCATAAAACAGTTTTTCTTGTTAATTATTCAGTTTCGCTCTGTTCGGACCTTTGTTTTCAGCCATGCTGAACGACTGGGTCTTATACATCAATAGAGTGGCCAATTCGTAACTGTTTTCACACCCTATTCAACATATCGGCTTCGATTGTGTTTATTCATTGTTTTCTTATGAGCTTTGTTAGCTGGCGGTATAACAACACGCCCTTAATCAGACAGTATCATCAACGCTAATAAGGTCACAACAACGCTAACCCACTCTCCGAAAACAAACAAATTATTGACAAATACTATTAGCCAGAAAACCTTCTATAAGTAGAAAAGAACAATCAACAGGGAAGTTTATGTTTCGGGTTATGGTGACAGTCTCTCTTCCCGGGGACCACAAATGCCGTTTCATCTCTCCGACCATACCGGAAATCAAGACACGTATACATGTATATATATTAAAAGTCATTGCGTCGTCCACTCAGCCACACACACGCTGAGACGAAGCAGCGGTAGGCAGTTACTGTCGATGTAAAAATCTCGGATTTTACTAACTGTATACAGAGGTAAACATTTTATTATCGATAATTTAAACAGGTACTTTTCATATAGTTAGCTGGAGTTCATTCCAGCAAAACTAAACGATGCGTGCAGACACTCACTGACATTTAAAAAAAAAAAAATTGTTTAATTTTTATTTTTGCTATTTTGTGTGTTTTTTTTTGTTTTGTTTTTGTATTCATATATTTTTGTATAAAAATAACGATGCATAATTTCAATAGTTCTAACTAATAGATCAGACAAACGCATGCTTGTTCATGCATAACACATAATTAACAATTATATGCATTTTTACATTAAATGTTTATTTCTAGAAACCGGCTAGTTATAGTGTCTAAAATAGCAACAGTGGTTGTAACTTTATGCATTATTTTATGACGATATGTTTTATAAAATATACTTATTTATCTATAATAGCAAATTTCAACATAAAAAAATTGTTGAAAAAGATTGGATATAAATTGAATTAATCTTTTTCTTAGTACAGAATTAAAAAAAAAAAATTTGCGCGCTATTAGAAAATCGGTGCGTTTCTCTGAAACAAAATATAGGTGGAATAAATAAGTAAGTGAACAGAAAATTATTTCGTTTAAGTGTTAAATTTATATCTGATTAAAGTTGTAATAAGTGATTATGACATTAAGAGATAACAACTGTAGATTTTTTCAGCGCAAGCTAATCCTACTCAGAATTTTGAGATTGTAACAGGGGCCTATGATGGAAAGGACACCCTGTCGCTGCATTGTATTCAAAACGATTTCGAGACGAGATCATCGGTACATATACGTTCTTTGTCAAATATGCACCAGAATAATTGAAAGAAGAATATGCATATTTGGAATTTAAAAAAAAAATAAAGTTCTTATTTTTAACAAAAGTAATTTGTACTGAAAAAGAACTTTACGTTTTGAAATAATCATATTTAATTTTGAATTTTTGGAGAATCCGAAGACAGGCAATTTGATTCTTAGTTTTAAATTTTCCATAAAACGTAGAAATATCATACATGAATATTGAATGTTAGTCAAATTACAAGTAGCCGAATTCATTTTACATCAATATTGTGTCTTTAATTAGGAATCGAAAAGAAGGACAAAATGCCTTTCATTGAAATCATTTAAATAAAAAAAAATGAAAATAAACAAGTGAACAGCTGTTTCCGTTCGTTCGCTGTTTATCTAACTTACTTAAGTCAATGGCCTTGCATCTTGTATTATCTTTTTTAATAAGTATAATTATTACAATCAGCTCAGCAATGGCACAACAAGCAGACAGATCCTATTACGGTTCGAGATAAAAAATACGGTTCGAGATAAAAAATACGGTTCGAGATAAAAAAAAACACTTTAAAAATAAATTTCTGTATTCATTTAATTATCAATATTTTATTCAATTAACAAGTTCTATTATCAAAAAATCTGACACCAACATTTTATCTTGATTTTCATTACATATAACTTAACTCGCACGGACCTACTATTTCTTTTCTTCTAAATAATATGCAATGCGCCGGCATATTACATATATCAAAAGTATCATAACAGTCCTGTTTCGATGGTAATTATTCTCAAACGTATCGGGAAACTTGTAGCTAAAATTCGATCTAGCATATTTAGGCCTAACTGGAAACGGTCCGGACAAAAGTAAATCATATCTTGTTGTAAATGTCTATCTTCATTATGGAATTTTGTACTGGAATGTTTCCAATTGTTTGGCTTCAGTTATTTACAAGCTCGATAGATCACATGTGCGTGACACCAAGAGTACCGAGGGTGCATTTTCGGAACATTTAGAAGCAAATTTTCGTTATTATTTTCATTTGACTGTTAGCATGAGTGATGAATTCCGAATGGACGAATTGACCAGATGACACGGTAAATGGTTTACCTATGTTTAAAACGTGAGCATAGTTGTGTATGTAATGTAAAGTAAGTTCAATAATCTCTTGTATTTAAACTATGTGCGTAATTATTTGGCAGAAACCTCTTGGAATTGATTTGTGCTCGACAGTAACAGTGATTCTATATTGAATGTGTGTGTGAGTTTTTTTTGTATGATTTTGTTATTGTTTTCAAATAATATCGTAATATTGAAAATACAAATGCTTATAGTGTCTCGTCTTGGCATCATTGTATATTATATATATATATACATATATTGGATTAGGTATTTTCTGGACAATAACATTATTTATTTATTTATCTCTTTATTTATTTAATGAATGAATGAATTAATTTTATTTTATTTTATTTTATTTTATTTTATTATGTGACACCATCCGTCTTTTGATTGACAGTTAAGGGCACAATGGTAGACAGTTAGCTGTCCGAAGCTCTAATAATTTTTTTTATCAGAAACAACTGATATTTTCCCACATCTTATTCTTCTATATGACAGGGACGTATAACACCGATAACAATCTAGAAATTCTGGTCACAGATAGGAAATGTTTAAAATTTATAAAATCACAATTTATCAATAAAAACTTTGATATAAATTAGTGTTATTCGCACGAGAATTATAAAACATCCATCAGCTACACTTATTTGACGTGCTGTCGACTTTTCAAAAATTCACTTCAGAGCAATACAGAAAAGGTCGAAGATCATTAGAATACTTTGGACATGCCCTTCAAAATTTTTGAAAGTTAACTTTGTGTTGTATACCGATTTACGACCACGCCTTTTAAACTAATGGTTTTGACACGACTAACAGGCCTTCAAATATAACGACATGTTTTTGTTTATTTGATAATTAACTCTAGACTTATCCATATTCTTAACGAAACTTAAAAATTTTGTATATATAGGGATTTATCATGATTCTGAATTTTAAAAAAATGAAGAGATACATGAAAAATATACCAGGTGGCTCTGACCGTTATTTTTTCCTCTTTTCAGAAGATCATGGCGAACATCGCAGCCCTCCATCCATATTCTATACTTCCGCGGACTATGATGACGTCTCCGGATTTACAACTGTGTCATACGCCTTATTCCATTGACCCACGGGGAGTGGTGCCATTTCCCTGGGAACAGTGGACATCAACATACAGCGCACTCTACTTTCAAGCACAACAGACCAGTCGTTTTCACGGATACCTTGGTGCCAATTACCCCACCCAGGTGCTTGACCTGTCTATCCGACACCAGGACCGTTCGTTTTCCCCCGGGTCTGAGGAGGAATCACCAAAGCGAACCAGTGCAGGTAAGTTAAATAATTAATTTTGAATAATCCATGTTGAAAGCTGATTGAGGTAACTGGAACTCTTTAATTAAGTAAGGTCAAATAGTATATCTACGTGACAAGTTAAAATGTAAAATCGCAATATTTCAAAAGATTTTATTTTGTCAAAAGGTTTGAAAGAATTTATAAATCTTCAAATCATTATGTCATGGGTACGCATCAAGGTGATTCGACAGACTAAAATATATGTTAGAGAAAACATACTGTATTTATTCTTATGGCACGCAATCACATTATATTTCATAATTATTGTTTATCAATAGAGAGGAAAAAAATTGGGTACACGCATTTGAAATATAGCACGTAGTAATGTCCTCTACGCCTGTTCAAAGTTTAAAATAATTTTGATTAAATTAATCAACACTTCAATTAAGAGCGAAAAAATATTATTTTCTGCTTCGACACAGGAAACGTTTGAAGATATTTTATTTTCTATTTTATAAAATCTAGATTGATAAAGATTGATAGAATCTGATTTCTATTCATAGTTTGAGTTTTACAGTATTTTAGCTATCGCTGGTTTTATTACACAAAAATACCCCAAATATCATTACATTCGATATCAAAACGACAGGACATCAAGTTTTTATAGATACATCAACTATGAATGTTAACATGTTTTAAATCTCTCTGGATGTATCTCATTTTCTCATATAAAATTTAGATCATATGTGATAAATAAAATATGGCGTGTGTGACATTTTTATAACTTTATCAACGTGACTCTATAGATTGTCAATTATCTGTCGATCAGAGCATCTGTTGAGCTTGTTGTGGGGATCTAAGTACTTGATTTTTCCGTTCTATCGGTTACTGCAGTATAGATCATTTTCCGAAAAGGATACCTACACCGGAACGACCTTCTTATAACACCAGTAAGTAATTCGTGCCTGCTACCGCCATTTTCCTGACATTACCTTTCCTCATATACACCGACAACATGTTAATGAAGCCAGACTACACAGAATACTGAATATATATAGATAATGAAAATTACAAATATCTAGATATATTTAGAGGATACAAATGTTTTGTGTCAACATGTATCATGCTAACGCTGTATCGTTCTAACTTGTGTCAGGTGGACGCTGTATCGTGCTAACGTGTATCACGTGAACGCTGTATCGTGCTTACGTGTATCACGTGAACGTTGTATCGTGCTTACGTGTATCACGTGAACGCTGTATCGTGCTAACGTGTATCACGTGAACTCTGTATCGTGCTAACGTGTATCACGTGAACACTGTATCGTGCTTACGTGTATCACGTGAACGCTGTATCGTGCTTACGTGTATCACGTGAACGCTGTATCGTGCTAACGTGTATCACGTGAACGCTGTGTCGTGCTAACGTGTATCTCGTGAACGCCGTATCGTGCTTACGTGTATCACGTGAACGCTGTATCGTGTTTACGTGTATCACGTGAACGCTGTATCGTGCTAACGTGTGTCACGTGAACGCTGTATCGTGCTTACGTGTATCACGTGAACGCTGTATCGTGTTTACGTGTATCACGTGAACGCTGTATCGTGCTGACGTGTGTCACGTGAACGCTGTATCGTGCCTACGTGTATCACGTGAACGCTGTATCGTGCTAACGTGTATCACATGAAAGTTGTATTGTGTTTGTGCTGTTTAGTGTTTACACTGTTCCGGTGCAGATATAGTGCACAACGTGTAACATCAGATATCGTGAACAACGTGTAACGTCAGATATCGTGCACAACGTGTAACATCAGATATCGTGCACAGCGTGTAACATCAGATATCGTGTACATCATGTAACATCAGCTATCGTGCGCAACGTGTAACATTAGATATTGTGCACAACGTGTAACATCAGATATCGTGAACAACTTATAACATCAGATATCGTGAACAACGTGTAACGTCAGATATCGTGTACAACGTGTAACATCAGATATCGTGTACAACGTGTAACATCAGATATCGTGAACAACGTGTAACATCAGATATCGTGTACAACGTGTAACATCAGATATCGTGCACAACGTGTAATGTCAGATATCGTGCACGTGTAACATCAACTATCGTGAACATCGTGTAACGTCAGATATCGTGCACAACGTGTAACATTAGAAATCGTGTACAACGTGAAACATTAGATATTGTGCACAACGTGTAACATCAGATATCGTGACAAACGTATAACATCAGATATCGTGAACAACGTGTAACGTCAGATATCGTGAACAACGTGTAATGTCAGATATCGTGCACAACGTGTAACATCAGCTATCGTGAACATCGTGTAACGTCAGATATCGTGCACAACGTGTAACATTAGAAATCGTGTACAACGTGAAACATTAGAAATCGTGTACAACGTGTAACATCAGATATCGTGTACAACGTGTAACATCAGATATCGTGAACAACGTGTAATGTCAGATATCGTGCACAACGTGTAACGTCAGCTATCGTGAATTTAGTGTAACGTCAGATATCGTGTACAACGTGTAACATTAGATATTGTGCACAAAGTGTAACAACAGATATCGTGCACAACGTGTAATATTAAATATCGTGTACAACGTGTAACATTAGATATCAATTACAACGTGTAATATTATATATCGTGTACAACGTGTAACATTAGATCCTGTTGAACGTGTAAGATTAGAAATCATCAACATGTAAAATCAGATTACATTTATTGTATGTAGGAAAATACGAATATTTGGTTCTTAAATAATGGTGTTCGGATCATTGGTTTAGCGACTGATAGGTTTTCATACACAACACTTTGCATCTCTTTCGAGAAGGAAATGGATCCGAAATATTTCTGAAACAAGCACACTGTGTTTTCCAGTGTATAAATTATTAAATGTACTGTAACTACCGTCAACTTTTCGAGTTTGAATAGATCGAGAGTGTGTGTGAAGGTTATTATAGTTTTAATATCAGCCTTTTAGCGATGATTGAATAAGAACAAAGTTTAACATAAAATTCTGTAGGACACTTTCTCAGCTTCTTCCGTGTCTTTTATTCTATCAAATTCTTTCATAAAAACTATTCCTGTAACATTTGATATTTATTTTTAGGCTCATACATGTGACATATTATGTATTGTTTATAAATAGAGTTCACTTCAACTTGAAAATTTTAGATTTTAGTGGCTCGTTGCCCAAAATAAAAATTTTCAAAGTTTTGTTGTTAATCTATAAATAGGATTCAATTGGCCCTCATCCCATTGCTAGCAATTAGCATAAATCAGTCATGAATGAAAGGATATTGTCCGAATTTCAATGAAATTATGAAATCTGTTCACTTCAGAGGTTAAGGTCTTAATCCTTCTCTGTTATCATGAATATTATATTTCTTGGTTATATCTAATGCTAAACACAAAATTCTAATTCTTGTTTAAAACATTATATTATAAAAAAGAGGAATACCAGAATATACCACCCGACACAGAGTTTTTTTTATTCATGTTGTTATTGAAGATGAAAACAAAACTTTACGAGACTGAGATACTCTGTGGTTTGGTAGGGGAGTAGATAGGTGTGTGGTAGTCACATATTGTGCTTCCTAATACCCTCAACTGTGTTCATATATCCGTTTAAACAATGAAATCATCCCCACCGCTAGCTTACTGTTGGGGCCCTCTACAATGAGGAAACGTAAACAAACGAAAAATATTTTCAAAATCTTGCTCGAAGAAAATTTTAACCTTTTGACTCGCGTTTCTTCTCCAGCTTTCAGAACGGATTTCGTAAAAATGTAAAAATGCATTTTATTTTTGTAACGACTCATGAATTTTAAAATAAATATATTGTGCATTGCTTTTTTTTCCGTTGGGGGCCTCATATTTACACGTACAACAATGAAAACATGTATAACCACAGATGAAGAGCGGGTCAAGTTACTCGACGAATTTCGGAAAAGATAAGCGTAAACGCACGCTAAGATGGAGGTATTTTAATTTTAAAAGGAAATATTTGAACGAGATATGGTCGTTTGTTAGAAGGAATAAGTTTATCTCCCGACAACAAGCTTGCAAGTCCTTGTTTTTATCTGAAAATAATGAATTCGACACTTCTACAATGCTACCACTGGAGTCAAATTATGCTAATTTGCTTCACATGTACTTGTCGCGAAACCTTGTTTATTTAGTCGAATTTCTTAGTAAAACACTTAGGAGTTTCCCTTTGCCCTCTTAAGGAAAAACAATTACAAATCTTCCTTAATTCAACCTTTCCATTAGAAATGAAATACAAAAATACAAAAAATAGAACAAACTCTAATTTTATTTTTTTATTTCATTTTTCAGTCGTATTTTGTAAGATTATGGGATATTCTTGAAACATTTGTACGTTTTTCCTTACAGAAAAGAAGGAAGTCAAGCCCCGTTTTGACTTTGCTCATCTAGCCGAGGCTGCGACAAGTAGTTCTGAAAAAGAGAGAAGTCTTGATACCAAACCGACCAACAAGGATCCGATCATCAGCCACGTTCTAGATCCCTGTTTCCTTTCTAATAACTTCAGGTAGGACACATTCTACTGGCCCAAATGGATTTTTTTCTAAACATTTACATATTTCAGAAACTTCGATACAATTTTCAGCATGTTTGTTGACAAAATTGAAAAATAACCAGTTCTTTCTCTCATCCTAAACACTAGAGTTATTTAAGATGCGTTTTCACTCAGTGCAAATTTGACCAATTTTAGCACTCATTTCATAGTATTTTATCATATTTTATGTGTATTATATATACAATCAATAGTGTATTTATATATTTTTTGAAATAATACATCATTCAGAAACGAGTTGTTTTCATTAGAAGAAAAACACAGAAAAAAGATATTATTTGGCTCCATTTTTTACCCAGTGTTAATAGAGTGACTTCCCTTGTTTCTGTACAACCTGTTGTGTTTTGATGACGTAGGAAGTGGTGTTAGAGCCACTTAGACTAATTTACGAACGGCGCGTTTGAGGGGCGGAGCGTTAGGCACTCTTGAACAAAATAAGCGTCCATGCAAAAAACAAACATATTTCTTTTTACATTAAAAGTTTATAAGTAGAAGGATAATGACGGTGATTCTATGAATGTTTTTCAGTGTTGTTGAGACACACAGATTAGTCGTTTTACGAACAAAATAAGGGTAAATAGGCGGCCAGACAATACAACATAATTAACATTAGTATAGTATTTTGTTTCAATTGCCGTTGAAATATAATACGAAATTTTATAACTTATTCTTATTAAATACTTAGTAGTAACGAACAATATAACAAATTATGTTAAAAATGGAACAGGAAAGTAAAACAGTTTTTTTTTTTTAAATATTAATTGTCTGTAGTAAAAATATACACCAGTTGGTTAACTTTCAATTAACCATGACCGGTAAAAGATACAAATTTATGTTTGCTTTTTGTTTATATTTTTACTTTTAAACACAAAATTAATATCAAACTCTTGCCAAATATTTCTCTAACAATTAATGATATCGTTGGTTTCAAACGATGTGCCATCGAAACACTTTAGGTAATTTTATTTCAATAAAGATGTACAATGAGGTTTTTCTGTTATCACACATAAGCAAACATTTATAAGTCCAAATTGTTAATAATTTCAACATTTCAAGTGTTTATTTTTAATTGTCATACGACTTTTAAAGTTAACACGATTCAAGTTTGAATTTCATTGCCTCTTTTTTCAAAACTAAGGGCAAGTTCGTCCTTTTATTCAAAAGTATTTAGAAATCGGAGATAAGTTATGACAAATATTTGTCTGATATCGTTGTTTACAGGTGACCAGTAGTAGTGTTAGTACTGTTATTGATCTGGTTTTTTTCAACTTTCTAAGGTGTAAACCGAACTATCCATCCTGGTATGGGACACTCAGCAAGACCATGACACAGACCCCAGAACGAGGACGTGGCAGACGACCTAAAAGGTCTCTATACCTTACGTAACATATATATATATAATTTTTTTTTTAAATTTTGATATTAATAATAGTAAATTAAACTATGTATTTTATTGCCGAGAAATTCTGAAAGACTGGGCACACTGTAAATGCATGTTACATCGTGACCAAAGTGTAGATCGAAGACGAGCCTAAAAAGGTTGAAACCGCTGCACAAAGCAATTTCATGCATTGTTTGGTTCTACTGTCTATAACTCTAAATATAACTTGCGTGTCTTGTCAAATCAATCAATCAATTAATCAATCAATCAATCAATCAATCAATCAATTAATCAATCAAGCAAGCAATCAAACAATCAATCAATCAATCAATCAATCAATCAATCAATCAATCAATCAATCAATCAATCAATCAATCAATCAATCAATTAATCAATCAAGCAAGCAATCAAACAATCGATCGATCGATCAATCCTTCTCGTATCTAATACATTGTGTTACGATTGATATGAAAAGAAACAAATATATATGTAAACTGTTACTTATCCAATTTATAAACAAACATGCTTATGTCACTGTATTGTTTACACAAAGAACATATTTTTTTTTATTATTACTAACTACGGGTTTAAGTAGTTTAGTGATAATGAACATGTTTCCTGATATATCTTAATTATGTAGTCAGCGGGTATATGATAATGATTAATTATTAATTAATACATTTATCAGTGCACTGATTGTGAAATTTACTTACAACATTAACAATGAAATGCGATAGTGTTATAAGATAACATAATACAGTGGGTGTCCCGATTACTAACGGTACACATTCAACCGCAGTAACACCGAAAATATTTTCATGGTGTAGAAAATTTATACATATAAACGCTAAGCTTGTTTCTCTGTTTACGAACTGATATAAATTCTACTTTAACATCAAGTTGTACATTTTAGGATCATGTCGTTGAGTACGTTTTAGAACTATCTATCTATAGGTTCATAAATGTTCCAGGCGAATTCACACTATATTGTATTTGAAAAAACTTACCTCAGTCGCTTAGGCCAACATGTAACAGCTGGTCCGAGAAACATATCTTTATTTATCTTTGAGACTCTCTACAGCTGGATTACGTCTCTCAACATATTCTGTAGTTTTATAAACAGTTTAATTAAATTCATATTTATGTTTAATTTCACAAAATTAATGAAAGATACAGCTTTTTAAATATCATATGGTTGCAATATTTCTCCTTTAGTTTACATTATCGATCCCAAAAATCGCGTTCACATATGAATCGGACAGTTACTGTCTTGAAGGCCCATGTTCGACAATGGTATTAATTTTCACAGTCTATAATTACATAAATGATAAATCACAACAGCAGTAATAATCAGGAATTTTAAGGATATATGCTTTCTGAGACGTGTGTGGTATGTAGGAGTTATCTCCCTAAAAAACTTTTCAATATTTTATTATTGTTATTTTCTGTTACAAATGAATCAACGCAACAAATGCAAACATGAATAATCACCGATAGATATATTTCTCGTAGTGAATGAACATGTGTGTAAGGAACCGAGACAAAATCCAGTTCTAGTCCTAAGATTTTTTAGTGCAGAACTCTTAAAACCAAGGTGATTACCTCCGAGAAACTTGGTACATACTTATTTCTGTTGGTTTGTACCATCCTTACTCCGGATGTAATCGGTTAATCTCGACTGATTCCGATACTCTCCGGTGAAGTTACGAAATAAGCCGAGATATGACGAATAACTGTTTTTAAAAAAAGTGATACTAATTGCTATAATAAAAGCAACCATTTGCTTTATATTTTTGCAGGGCCAAGAAAGAGTACATCTGTAAATATTGTTGTCGGAATTTCACCAAATCTTACAACCTTCTCATACACGAACGTACGCATACGGACGAAAGACCGTTTCCATGTGACATCTGCGGAAAAGCGTTCAGACGACAGGATCATCTCAGAGACCACAGGTAGGAGCCAAGAAGTTTAACGCTATATGATCGGGGACATTGTCTATATCCTTAACACAGCGCGTCCGTTCGTCCTCTTTCGTTATAAAATTATATCACAATAGTGGTTTTTGTTTTTATTTATTGTGTATACAAGCGAAGGTCCGCCCGTCTTTATATTTGCTGTGACGTCGTCGATCTGTTCTTTAATGGACTGTTGATTCATCCAAATAATCCGTCATTTCAATTTCAGAAAACAAAAAACAAAAACAATTACAAAAATAAAAAAAAATGCTAGAAACCGAACAAAATGATAACATGTCTTTTTATGCTAAAGTATTATAGAAAACTAACGTTAGCAACTAGGATTGCTTGTTTCAATCCAGTATGTTGCAGTATATCAATAAAAACGTTATTGCCACAGTTATTCGTATGGAATTCAAATTGTTCCTAATTCTAATGGATAATTTTCTAAAGAAGATGTTGTTTGTCTATTCATACTTATATTCAAACATCAAATGTTCCTACGCAGGTACATCCATTCAAAGGACAAACCGTTTAAGTGTGAGCAATGTGGAAAGGGCTTCTGTCAGGCTAGGACACTGGCTGTACACAAGACAACGCACCAGGTGAGATGCTATGGAAACATGTATGAAATCATTGACACTAATACTACCGCTATTTCCAGTGTCTTTCTCTGTGTAAAATTATCTTTAATTTAAAAAGATATGTATTTAATTTTATAAAGTTTAACAATGTATTTGAATATTTGTACCAACAATGGCCGAAGAAGGCCAATAGTAATATATTCTTGCTTCATATTTCAATTTCTAAATTTGTTTATTTGTTTATTTTTTTCAGACATGATATCGACATTTCCAGATCGGAAGTTTTAAAATCCAGTCCTCTTTGAGGTTTGATATCCGTGATATTTAGTGCCATTAATCATCTCTGTCACAAAACAAAGAACACACTAAAAAGACTTACATTTGAACTACTTTGATAACGGAAGTTGAGAACTTGCTCGAGCGTGTGAACTCTGACCCGGAAGTTGAAGAAAGAGAGTCGGTTAATTAGATGTGGATATATCTATTATGTGTCTTTGTCCAAGCCATCTTCTAGTTTTTTTTAAATTATCATCAATTAATCAATCCCCTGACCAAATTGCTCCGGTGATATGATATGTCCGAAATAATGTGTGTATCAACACAAGGATATATGTGTTTAACGCACAGATGTATGATTATCAACACACAAATATATGTATCAACACACAGATGTATGTGTATTAACAGACAGATATATGTGAACCAACACACAGATATATGTGTTTAACGCACAGATGTATGTTTATCAACACACAGATGTATGTTTATCAACACACAAATATATGTATCAACACACAGATGTATGTGTATCAACACACAGATGTATGTGTATCAACACACAGATATATGTGTATCAACACAGAGGTACATGTTTTTCAACTTTAAATGAAAAGATTTTGGAATTCTTTTCTTATTTTTTCATTATTATTTCAAGAACTTTTCTGCTGAATCTCAATGTCATTGTTTACCAACACATTAATAAGTATTGCTATTTTTAAAACAGATTTTCTGTAACATCATCCACTTAAGGAAATGTGCTGTTGTCGTGTTCGTCATACTTAACAGAACCTGAAAAATTTGGCGTTATCACAAATTTACCACATAGTTTAAGACTATTCATCAAAAGGCGTGTAGCAATTGATGTTAAGGTCGGCTTCTACTGAAGCGTTTGCTAGATCAAGTCATTCAGACACTTGAACCGGACGACCACGTTAGAAAATGACAATGCATTCTGTAATAGCCGGAAGTGTCAATAGGATTCGAATACAGACAAAACACACGCAGATCGGACGTTGAACAAGCATAGTTAGCATGACTTTTCGTAAATAGATATTTTTGGAGAGAAAAATTGCAGAGTTATTTGGAATAAAAGATTTTTTGATAGTTGCATTCAGGTGCATAGCTGGAAACCAAGTGTCAGTGATGACATCAACTTGCTGCAAGTAAAATACTGGGATTGTCAGGACATTTCATAAGATGATTAAATTAATTGTTTATTGTATTCATATTAATTTTTACTCTTTTGTGTGTGTGTGTGTGTAATTTTTATCATTTTATGATATTTACGGCACGGAAGTCAAAGTATGTATGTAAATATCACCAGTACACGAACTTATATTGTATATATATTATAACAACACGCCAATATTGATTGGCAACCCTCGAATCGAGGTTGTAGCTAGCATTTTCATTGGTTAAAAAAGTCGAAGACCTTTGACCTTGAACATACACAGACATTCCATTGGTTGTTACATTTATTCTCTCTTTGTTATGTCCTTTGTTATTGATTATTGCGAAAGGAAATTTGCATATGGTGTATATACAAATTCGTTTGAAAGTCACTTTAAGTTGACTTAATGGATGATTGTTAAGTATGCTTGCGCGTGAGCTCATCTCGGACACAATTGTTGACTTGTAAATTAGCGGGTGTGTTTTTGGGTGTGTGCTCATGCAATATGTTAATTAAGTGCTGATGTATCCGTCTTATTTGTGTATAAATGTAAATTATGTAAAATAAAAATTAAAAACTAAAACATTATTTATGATAAAATATGTTTATGTGTTATATTTCATATACTGTAAAATCCTGAATTTTCGTGGAATATTTATTTTCGGTACTCTTGATCTATGAATTCATATGTTCACGAGAAAATGAAACATTAACTTTGAGATGGAGTTTTAGCAATAAAGAATTTAGTGAGTGCTATTTATCCAGGAAATGAATTGTCAACGAAAATTTATGTTTCATGGAAAACTGTTTTGGCCACAGAAAATAGATGATTTTACAGTTTGTAGAATTTGATGCGAATGATAAATCACGTGATCTACTACGTGACGTCATAAGAATTTGACTTGTCTTGTAGTTTCTCCAATAATTCTTATATAAAACGTGTTTATACTATTGACCAGTATATCTATTTTTTTCGTGTTCAGATCACAAAAGAGCGCCAATTTGACTGGATCTAATTATTAACAACTTAAAAACTTTCTCTAACGACTAAAATTGGACTCTAGACATCTCAACTGTACATAAATCTCAGGTTCCTGTGCAGTAGACCAGGATAGGCCTATACACATAAAAACTGCAACTAATTTCAGCTCTCAGCGATAAACATCAGAAATGGTATAAACTACGAGACTTGGTTAGGCTAACCTGTCTATATTGACACCCTGTGGTACACAACCTATTAATAGACTAAACTGTCTATACTGACAGGCTGTGGGACACAACCATTTGATCAGACTAACCTGTTTATACTGACAAACTGTGGGACACAACCGATTGATCAAACTAAACTGTCTATACTGTCAGACTGTGTGGACATAACCGATTGATCAAACTAAACTGTCTATACTGAAAGGCTGTGGGACACAACCATTTGATCAGACTAAACTGTCTATACTGACAGGCTGTGGGACACAACCATTTGATCAGACTAACCTGTCTATACTGACAGACTGTGGGACACAACCGATTGATCAGACTAAACTGTCTATACTGACATGCTGTGGGACACAACCATTTGATCGGACTAACCTGTCTATACTGACATACTGTGGGACACAACCGATTGATCAGACTAAACTGTCTATACTGACAGGCTGTGGGACACAACCATTTGATCGGACTAACCTGTCTATACTGACATGACAGACTGTGGGACACAACCGATTGATCAGACTAAACTGTCTATACTGACAGGCTGTGGGACACAACCATTTGAGCAGACTAACCTGTCTATACTGACAGACTGTGGGACACAACCGACTGATCAGACTAAACTGTCTATACTGACAGGCTGTGGGACACAACCATTTGAGCAGACTAACCTGTCTATACTGACAGACTGTGGGACACAACCGATTGATCAGACTAACCTGTCTTTATTGACACCTGTGGTACACAACCTATTGGTTTGACTTACCTGTCTGTATTAAAACCCTGTATTACACAACCTATTGATAGACTAACCTGTTTATACTGACAGACCGCGGAACCCAGTCTTCTTGTTAGCTAAACCTGTCTTTATTGACAAGCTATGTGACATAACCAATTTGACTTACCTGTCTATATTGACAGACTGTGGTACACAACCTATTGGGTTGACTTACCTGTCTATACTGACAGGTTGTGGTACACAACCTATTGGGTTGACTTACCTGTCTATACTGACAGACTGTGGTACACAACTTATTGGGTTGACTTACCTGTCTATATTTGCAGACTGTGGTACACAACCTATTGGGTTGACTTACCTGTCTATACTGACAGACTGTGGTACACAACCTATTGGGTTGACTTACCTGTCTATACTGACAGACTGTGGTACACAACCTATTGGGTTGACTTACCTGTCTATATTTGCAGACTGTGGTACACAACCTATTGGGTTGACTTACCTGTCTATACTGACAGACTGTGGTACACAACCTATTGGGTTGACTTACCTGTCTATACTGACAGACTGTGGTACACAACCTATTGGGTTGACTTACCTGTCTATATTTGCAGACTGTGGTACACAACCTATTGGGTTGACTTACTGGTCTATATTGGTAGACTGTGGTACAAAACCTGTTGGGTTGACTTACCTGTCTATATTTGCAGACTGTGGTACACAACCTATTGGGTTGACTTACCTGTCTATACTGACAGGTTGTGGTACACAACCTATTGGGTTGACTTACCTGTCTATACTGACAGACTGTGGTACACAACTTATTGGGTTGACTTACCTGTCTATATTTGCAGACTGTGGTACACAACCTATTGGCTTGACTTACCTGTCTATACTGACAGACTGTGGTACACAACCTATTGGGTTGACTTACCTGTCTATACTGACAGACTGTGGTACACAACCTATTGGGTTGACTTACCTGTCTATATTTGCAGACTGTGGTACACAACCTATTGGGTTGACTTACCTGTCTATATTGGTAGACTGTGGTACAAAACCTGTTGGGTTGACTTACCTGTCTATATTTGCAGACTGTGGTACACAACCTATTGGGTTGACTTACCTGTCTATACTGACAGACTGTGGTACACAACCTATTGGGATGTCTTACGATGATAATGTCCCATTTTCTCGCATTGTTTTATCTGCAAAACCAAATAATATAGAAATAAGAGTTAGTCTCCCTACCCACAATCTATATCTGTATGATTTCCTCAGTTTTTACAAATCCTCGAAAAAGACAATATTTCAATTATTTACAACAGTACTTCTGAAGAATAACATTATGATGGGAAGTGTTGTTGTTTTCTTTCGTTCGTTTTTTTCTAATTTCTATAATTATTCTTCAAAGTTTAATCATTTTCTGTAGATAATTTATAGCAAAATTCTAACAAAGTTATAACTAAAGACAACTCATGGATATTTTTTGAAAATAATTTAAATTCCTGAAACTGAAAATTGTAAATTAAGACTGTTCATCTGATAATGAAAGTACATGATGTTGCCACAATAAGTTTGTTGGGTTCAATATCATTTCACATTCTTTTACTTCGGGAAGGGCAGCATATTGGTTCCAAACATTCCTCAATGGCTTAACCGTCGGGTAAAGTTGCAAATAAAGTATTTTACTGAAGTGAAATTTGACTAATTTTGATAGCTATGTTTCCGTCCCCGTGCTGGAAATATGAGTTATACTGGTAAAAGGTTTCCTCCTACTTAAGAACAGAAACTTAACCAACACTTTGATACCTGGGCGGACACAATTTCTCTATCCATGGGTCAGTTGTATCATGAAAAGTGTCCGAAGTCCCTAACGTTTCCAAGTGTAGATACCCACGTGCCTTCCTTACACGGTCACTTGATTATACAGTCACGTGACTGACACTCAGACCACAGACGAGGTACATAAAAAGGGAAATTTAGACGAACACTTATCTTTTTTTATTAAATAACCCAGTTATTTCTGGATTTATTTCACAATTAGAGAAAATTGGTAATAAACACAATATTAAACTGATTTAATTCACCTGGTCAAAATATAACAAAGATCTTTAAAAGTTCGTTTCTCTTGTCACCCCCTTTGTTCGTTTTCATCACTAAGGACTGGCGCCAGGGAAAAGTTATGATGACGGTATAAGTATGAAAACACTTACGGTTCATCCTTTTTCACACTCTTCTACTTGACCAAATAAGACTGGTTTCAGAAACATCACCTAGAGAGGACTTAACAATAAGGAAGACATGTATTTGATTTGAGATATCCAGATGCTGAAGTACACGTGCTAGGTTAAAATGTGTGTTATGACTGTACATATAAAACACTGATTGTTGGATCTCCGTCAGTCATCATTATTCGTAGTGTTTTGCGAAGTTATCATAACTGACCAGTGATATGTTATTTTAGAGGCGGTGTCTCGCTACCTTACTGAACAACGTACGGGAGGTCCGTCACATCCTATTCGGAATAATAAGGGTGCAGTGTCATACACAAGAACACACTCGCATCAGCACAGAATGGCCTGGGTCTCGGCTTCATTCAAAACGGTCAGGGAGCGTCGAAACACCCACTTGTGTCCGTAGGTTACGTGAACTAACACCCCGAGCTATTTCAGACCGGTTTGACCGATACATGAGGATTTGATTGCAGTGCATTATAGTTGTTAGGCAGTATATGACATCTTTATACATCGGAAAATAAATGTGATATTATTCTCGATCCCCAACAAGCATCAACATATGTTTCGAGGGGAAAAGTATCGACCAAAGGGTTAGGGTTGTCACACAGGAAGTGTGCTACATTCTGAGGTCCCAACAGTAGTATAGACGACCCATCAACATTGAAAACAGACATGGTTTTAAGGTGGAACTATCACTCATTGATGGCCATTTCAAAGGGTTTTAACTCCTGAAGTAGCATTGCGTTACTGATTCTAATAGCATGGCTGTATCTAACAACTCATTTTCCACAAATAGTTACATGACTTAAATGAAAAGGATGCATCAGCGGGACAATTTCGGAACACGCCTACATTGCTTGTGGCGGGACAATTTCGGAACACCCCTACATTGCATGTGGTAGTTTGTATCTAACATTTGTTGCAAACGAAAAGACGTCAGGTATAGCACCCACCCCCCTCTAAAAAACCCCATAAAACTGTCAAAGCTCAAAGACATAAATCCGCCTGGCACTGCTTAAAACGAAATTCCGCCATTCAAGTTGTGCCGATACATTATGGTTGTAGGTTTCCATATATGACCCAGAAACTAAGATCAAGGATAGTTCGAGCTTTATTAATTAATCAATTTATTTATTTATTTTGTTAATTGGGTTTACGTCCACTATTATGGCCTTCGGCCTTTCAGCGGATGTTGGATTCGGAGTTAGCTCCCTTATGTACACTAGGGAAGTAGAGAACTAAGGGAGGGAACCGGTCTAGATTTCGCTGTTGGCTAGTAATTCGCCAGTTTTTAAGTCTACGTCATATATCTAATAGTATATTCAATTTATTGACTTCTCCTACTCAACTTTATTGTCTATGTCGATTTCATTCACTCATTGTTCAAGATCACATCACAAATTTATGTCGCCATCTATCTATTTTTCTGACATAAATTACAAACGTTTTGTCGAGCTCATAAACTCATATTAAATATAATGAAAATTTCATACCAAAGTCTTTTGTTGATTGTTTTTAAGAACTTTTATTCTATTGACATTACCAACACGAATAAAATTATCTGAAAAAGGATTATATTTTCGAAAATTCTCCGAAATGCACATATACATGTAACAGTATATGCTATTTGCAGCTACCCGTAATATCCGTTTTTAATCAAAATAGTTACCGCTGATATATCTGAAATATTTCATTGGCTGATTCACAAGCTGCAAGTGTATGAGATTTCTCGCATTCTTATAAGTAATAACTATACAATTAAAAGTAAGTTTATTCTTTGTACGGACATTAAAACAATACTTTGCTTAACAAGCCTATTGGTTGTAATACATAACCATTGTCCCCTTAATGGACCACCTGAGATCAATTAAAAATAACGCAATTTCGTTTTCCGTATTCCAAATTTCCCACGCACGTGATTCACAGTCAGGAGAGAAATTGGGACGAATAGCTAATCTCAGTACGTGGGTCTAAGTATAGACACATGACATTTTTTCTTTTCTCACTTAGGCACATTAGTATATATACACTCTATTCATGGAAAACTGACGCTTTCTTACGGATTCGCGGAAACAGAAACGGACGATTTCAGAAAGCTTCGATAATCTTAAAAATAATGATAAGACAAATCTTTGCATTGAGTTGATACTGAGATTGAGGTTTTTTTCACGAGTAATGTCTTGTAATTAGGGGCAAATCTCAGATGCTGATTACAAATATCAGAGTAAAACCTCCTCCTTTTCTACAAAATTTTGTTGCGTATGTTTGAATTTTATACACAGTATTATAATGAATGATATTTCACATCTCTGTGACAATTCAGAATATTTGTTCGTTAGTTCACGCCGTAACAGACAGGGTCATATTAAGGTGTTCGAGGGTGCAGGGGAGCCTCCTGTCATCTAACATGGGTCATGCATTCTAGTTCTTACCGTTATCATTAAACGTAGACACAGGATGTTTCGTAAGGGTCACCGTGATCAGCACAATACTCATTCATATCAACTAAAAAAAGATTTCGCCATCCCGATCAAATATGACACAAACGTTGTGGGTTTTTTAGTGGATAATTTTTCTTTTTTGTTTTGGTTAAATATTGACAATGACGTGGTTGGATATTGACAGTAAAATAGGATTCAAATACAAGTTCTGAGATATCTTTAATAAATCTTTTTAAATGATAAAAAAATGGATGGACAGCACGGAAACTTGATTTAATACAATGGATACCAATGTTCCGGAAAGTATTTTGTTATTGTGTTTAACGAAAAAAGTTGAAAGTGAAAATGAAAGGAAAAACAGGATTTTGATTGTACATATCATTCTAAGTTCATGTAATCAGCATACTAATAGTAGATGACGTCTGTTTGTGTGCTGGGTACTCTGCCCTGTAAACAGCCAGGGTGATTTTGAGATTTCCTTGTAGTAGCTGGTGACTTCCTAACTGAACAACAGAAGAAAGGCCCGTCGCATATTACCCAACCCAGAACAAAAGATCACAGCCACGAGAGCATAAACGGCCACGGACAGGGAGCATAGAACATCGGATAACAAGCTACGGTTTTAGGCCAACGTTCTACCAACTTAGATATCGAGACCCCTAAACAAGATACTTGTCGAGGCCTCAAAACAGCAGATGTTCTTGAAGAGTGAAAGTCCTTTGCTTTCACAGGCGACACCCGCCATGTAGATATTAGATGAGAGAGATGAATAATTGTATCTTCAAATTGCACTGGTTGACTCAAAAACTGCATCGGAAAAGATCCACTAACTCATAAGATTACTTTCGTTTCCCGAGTATATTATCAAAACTTCCGGATAGTGTCATTCGTCGCACGTACCACAGTCGTCTGGGTTTTTTTTTATTACTGCGATGGAAACTGAGTTATTGTAGTTGTCCTTGTTTGCCTCCTTAATTAGCAGTTAGAGTTTAGAAACTGTCCAGAAAAAAGGAATCCAGAAAAAAAAACACCTCCATACAGGGTGATAAAAAGCTACCTAGGTAAGTAGGTCAGATCACCCAGGTTTAATACCAAAGTTTTAAGGCCAAGCAATGTTTAATACTAAAGTTTTAAGGCCAAGCAATGCTAAATACTAAAGTTTTAAGGCCAAGCAATGTTTAATACCAAAGTTTTAAGACCAAGCAATGTTTAATATCAAAGTTGTAAGGCCAAGCAATGTTTAATACCAAAGTTTTAAGACCAAGCAATGTTTAATACCAAAGTTTTAAGACCAAGCAATGTTTAATACCGAAGTTTTAAGACCAACCAATGTTTAATACCAAAGTTGTAATGCCAAGCAATATTTAATATCAAAGTTGTAAGGCCAAGCAATGTCTAATACCAAAGTTGTAAGGCCAAGCAATGTTTAATACCAAAGTTGTAAGGCCAAGCAATATTTAATATCAAAGTTGTAAGGCCAAGCAATATTTAATATCAAAGTTTAAGACCAAGCAATATTTAATATCAAAGTTTTAAGGTCAAGCAATGTTTAATACCAAAGTTGTAAGGCCAAGCAATATCTAAACATTGCGGAAACACGAGACAAAATCATGGTGATATGTAAAATTGGAGACACACGGCACATAATCCGGATGATGTAGAGAAGCGGCTGACATACGAAACATAACCCTGATATGTAGAAATGGGGACACAGGAGACAAAATCCTGATGATATGGTGAAGTGAAAACATACGAGACATAATCCTGGTGGTTTGGAGAAGAGGAGACATACGAGACATAATCCTGGTGGTTTGGAGAAGTGAAAACATACGAGACATAATCCTGATGGTATGGAGAAGTGGAGACATACGAGACATAATCCTGGTGGTTTGGAGAAGAGGAGACATACGAGACATAATCCTGATGGTATGGAGAAGTGAAGACACACGAGACATAATCCTGATGGTATGGAGAAGTAGAGACAAACGAGACAAGATACCAGGATGTACATGTATTAATTCGTTCCCTGATTATATAAGTCATTACCTGAAGCCTATCTAAGCAGTTTGTATGATGGTCAGTGTAACCTTATCTTGTTGTAAGCAGCTGAATCTGTTACGATTTATGTGTGTAAGACCATGTCCATAACTCAAATACCACTCAATCCTTGGTTACCTGTTAGCTAATGTGTAATAGTACTTAATCAGTTTATTAACATGGCTAGTATAAATACGACCAGATTTCTAGCCAGTAGGTATCGGTTCCTGAAGGCATGTGAGTGTTCCATCTCTCCATAGCCTACATCTCAATAAACACCCGAACAGCTTTTGGGCTTCTCCACTCATCACCAAACGAAACAAAGTCTCATTCTGGTTGGTAGTTGTTTACGAGTATATGGTGGAAGTGGTTGGTTGTCTTGCCGTGGGTGGTTGTTTTGGAGTTGTGGTTGCGATGGATGGTTGTCATGGAGTGAGTGGTTGTTTTGGCGCGGGTGGTTGTCTTGGAGTGGATTGTTGTCTTGGAGTTGTGGTTGCGATGGATGGTTGTCATGGAGTGAGTGATTGTCTAGGAGTTGGTGGTTGGCTTGGATTTGGAAGTTGAGATTGGTGGTTGTCCTGGAATGTATAGTTGTCTTGGAGTTAGTAGTTGTTTTTTAGTATGTGGTTTGAGTGGGTGGTTGTCTTGTAGGTGGTTGTTGGAGTGGAATGCTGTCCTGGAATGGGTGGTTGTTTTGACGTGGTTGGTTGTCTTGCAGTGGGTTGTTGTCTAAGCATGTGTGGTTGTCTTTGAGTGGATTGCTGTCCTGGAGTTGGTGGTTGAGATGAATGGTTGTCTTGACGTGGGTGGCTGTCTTGGAAGTGGTGGTTGGAGTTGGTGTTTGTCTTTGAGTTGGTGGTTGGAGTTGGTGGATGTCTTGGAGTTGTTGGTTGGAGTTGGTGGTTGTCTTGGAGTTGGTGGTTGGAGTTGGTAGTTGTCTTGGATTTGGTGATGGGAGTTGGTGGTTGTTTTGGAGTTGGTGGTTGTCTTGGAGTTGGTGGTTGTCTTGGAGTTGGTGGTTAAAGTTGGTGGATGTCTTGGAGTTGATGGTTGTCTTGGAGTTGATGGTTGTCTTGGAGTTGGTGGTTGGAGTTGGTGGATGACTTGGTGTTGGTGGTTGGAGTTGATGGTTGTTTTGGAGTTGGTGGTTGTCTTGGAGATGGTGGTTGTCTAGGAGTTGATGGTTGGAGTTGGTGGTTGTTTTGAAGTTGGTGGTTGTCTTGGAGTTGGTGGTTGTCTAGGAGTTGATGGTTGGAGTTGGTGGATGTCTTGAATTGGTGGTTGGAGTTGGTGGTTGGAGTTGGTGGTTGTCTTGGAGTTGGTGATTGTCTTGGAGTAGGTGGTTGTCTTGGCGTAGATGGTTGTCTTGGAGTTGGTGGTTGGAGTTTGTGGTGGTTGTCTTGGAATTGGTGGATGTCTTGGAGTAGGTGGTTGTCTTGGAGTAGGTGGTTGTCTTGGCGTAGATGGTTGTCTTGGAGTTGGTGGTTGGAGTTGGTAGTTGTCTTGGAGTTGGTGATTGAAGTTGGTGGTTGTCTTGGAGTTGGTGGTTGTTTTGGAGTTGGTGGTTGTCTAGGAGTTGATGGTTGGAGTTGGTGGATGTCTTGGAGTTGGTGGTTGGAGTAGGTGGATGTCTTGAATTGGTGGTTGGAATTGGTGGTTGGAGTTGGTGGTTGTCTAGGAGTTGATGGTTGGAGTTGGTGGATGTCTTGGAGTTGGTGGTTGGAGTAGGTGGATGTCTTGAATTGGTGGTTGGAATTGGTGGTTGGAGTTGGTGGTTGGAGTTGGTGGTTGTCTTGGAGTTGGTGATTGCCTTGGAGTAGGTGGTTGTCTTGGCGTAGATGGTTGTCTTGGAGTTGGTGGTTGGAGTTGGTGGTTGTCTTGGAGTTGGTGGTTGTCTTGGAGTAGGTGGTTGTCTTGGAGAAGGTGGTTGTCTTGGAGTTGATGGTTGTCTTGGAGTTGGTGATTGTCTTGGAGTAGGTGGTTGTCTTGGCGTAGATGGTTGTCTTGGAGTTGGTGGTTGGAGTTGGTGGTTGTCTTGGAGTTGGTGGTTGGAGTTGGTGGTTGTCTTGGAGTTGGTGGATGTCTTGGAGTAGGTGGTTGTCTTGGCGTAGATGGTTGTCTTGGAGTTGGTGGTTGGAGTTTGTGGTGGTTGTCTTGGAATTGGTGGATGTCTTGGAGTAGGTGGTTGTCTTGGAGTAGGTGGTTGTCTTGGCGTAGATGGTTGTCTTGGAGTTGGTGGTTGGAGTTGGTAGTTGTCTCGGAGTTGGTGGTTGGAGTTGGTGGTTGTCTTGGAGTTGGTGGTTGTCTTGGAGTTGGTGGTTGTCTTGGAGTAGGTGGTTGTCTTGGCGTAGATGGTTGTCTTGGAGTTGGTGGTTGGAGTTGGTGGATGTCTTGGAGTTGATGGTTGTCTTGGAGTTGGTGGATGTCTTGGAGTAGGTGGTTCTCTTGGAGTAGGTGGTTGTCTTGGAGTTGATGGTTGTCTTGGAGTTGATGGTTGTCTTGGAGTTGGTGGTTGTCTTGGAGTTGGTGGTTATAGTTGGTGGTTGTCTTGGAGTTGGTGGTTGGAGTTGGTAGTTGTCTTGGAGTTGGTGGTTGCAGTTGGTAGTTGTCTTGGAGTTAATGGTAATAATAATGATAGTTAAAAGCACAACTCGTCAACGGCTGCTACAATGAGTAAACGGATAAATTGACCATATATTAACTAAGACTTATTTCTCAAGGAGTGATCTATTTTTAGTATTTAACAGATTTCAAGTTTGTGAGTTGTCTAATTGTGTTTTAAACGGAACACAATGTTTCTCTTTAGGGCTTGTTGCAGGAAGTGCAAATTAAAAGCTGCCACATTAATATTAAAAAAAACCCCGAATACCGCTGTGTCCAATACAAAACTGAAACTGAAACGCTTTGCCTATTATCGATTAGTTTGTAATTTGGACTATTTACATCATTGTCCGATTTTTTTATGTAAATGACCGTAGCGACGATACAACAACTGAATTTAATGATCTGGACACACAGGGACGTTCTACAAGGTTAACCTAACGAAACAGAAGCTGTTAAACTCCATCCCATATTATCTGCTCAAGGACTGTCCGCCATATTGCCGATATCATACTGAAAAAACTTCTAAAGTTTATTATTCAAAACACCAAAAACTTATCGTTTTTTTTCCTTAAGAAGCAAGCTAAACGCTGAATTATTTATAACTTAGTATGTATCCCGCACAATGTACATTAATTCAATCGAAAATTTAGATTCCATGTTTTATACAGTTAAAACATCAATATAAAAATACATTTTACCAGTTTGCTTGTAATATTCGTTCAAAACACCAATACCAAATTTATGCGTCAGATTTTCAAGCGTTTATTAAAGCAATGACTTGGGAATTCGAGGATTACAAGAGTACCCAAGAAATCATTAAAATTAGAAAAACGCCAATATTGACACTTTTTCAGTAATACAAGAACGATTCTTTGCGAAAAAGCAATGTTGTAAGGTAAACACAAGAAGAAACACGATCAAATGATTAGTAAATTGCAAAATTGTGGTAGTCACTGCTGGTGGACTTATAGGCAAAGAGTTTTACAGCCAAGTGCATGTCACGTTTTGATTCATTCGAATAGTGGCACGGTTCAGAATATGTAAATACACATTTATTTGTTCAAATATTTTCTGATATATGAAAATAATGAAATTTATTGAATTGTGCGTCTAATGCACTCCTCTCCATTCAATATTTTTTACTTCTATTTTAATCACTTTTGATTTCCCTCAGCCGCCTCATAGGCTTCAAAATTTGGGCCCTCAGCATCACTGATGAGTCCTAGAAGGATGAAACACCTGTATGATGTAGCATCACTGATGAGTCCTAGAAGGATGAAACAGCTGCATGATGTAGCATCACCGATGAGTCCTAGAAGGATTAAACACCTGTATGATGTAGCATTACTGATGAGTCCTAGAAGGATGAAACACCTGTATGATGTAGCATCACTGATGAGTCCTAGAAGGATGAAACACCTGTATGATGTAGCATTACTGATGAGTCCTAGAAAGACGAAACAGCTGTATGATGTAGCATCACTGATGAGTCCTAGATGGACGAAACACCTGTATGATGCAGTTTTGTCCATTGTTTGATTCTAATTTATCTGACTCTGATTTTTTGTATTTAAAAGTACTATTCACTTGTGTGTCTTTGTACTATTTTTAAAATGCTGTTGACGTTGAAAGGTAGTTTCGAGACCGAATATGTTATAGTCACGGGCCTAATACGAATCGAACTGAAAGTAAGTACATGTACCGAGAAAATTAAATTTCATAACCAGTTTTGAGAAGTTAGGAAATGTCCTTTGATTTGTAAACATAAACACAAATCACAGATGCAACACATGGGATGTGGAACAAGGGTTGCCATGAAACCATATAGATAATTATATATAAAAAGTATTTAGAGATTATTATATGACCATTTTGATATCACACCCCTTATCAGCCGATATCAGCCCGAGGATCCCGATATCAGCCCGAGGGTTCCGATATCAGCCCGAGGATCCCGATATCAGCCCGAGGGTTCCGATATCAGCCCGAGGGTCCCGATATCAGCCCGAGGATCCCGATATCAGCCCGAGGATCCCGATATCAGCCCGAGGGTTCCGATATCAGCCCGAGGGTTCCGATATCAGCCCGAGGATCCCGATATCAGCCCGAGGATCCCGATATCAGCCCGAGGGTTCCGATATCAGCCTGAGGGTTCCGATATCAGCCCGAGGGTCCCGATTTCAGCCCGAGGGCTGATGACTCCGAGAGATGATATCAGGACTCGGGGGTGATTAGGGGTGTAGAATCAAAATGGTCATGCAATAGTCTTTTATCATATATATTTTAGAAAATTAACCAGAGAAAAACAATAATCTTTTGGGTATATCATTTAATCAACGTTATAACGGCAATGATACACTATTTACTGAGTTTACGTTCGCAAAGGAAAGCAGCAAGAGTGCCTCCTATAAAACAATTCAGAAACAGCAATTTGATTGGGAGTCTAGTTTCATTTTCGAAAGAAAAGAAAAACATTTCTTGCAGGCCAACGATATTTATGTTCAAATTAGACAGCGATAAGCGAAAGCGGTAAATTTTTTTAATAGATGGGATGTGATATCACTTTCAAGGAGGATTGATATCACTTTAGGGGGTGTGATATGACTTCAGGGGTAGTGATATCACTTTCAAGGAGGATTGATATCACTTTAGGGGGTGTGATATCACTTCAGAGGGCGTGATATCACTTCAGGGAGTGTGATATCACATCAGTGTAACTGCAGAGACGAAAGGCCGTATACACATTTTTCAGAGATCATCGACTCATGGACATTACTTGCTGCTGGGATCTCCGAAGCACAAAACTTTGCTTTCGGTACTCATCGGACTCGCGAAAAAAAGTCAAATATGTTCCGAATGAACATGAAGAAGAATGAAAATGGAGAGAGGAAAACGACAAAGGAAATTCCGACGCATCAACAGAACATTTATCTAAACATAGATTCGATTAATTTAGGGCAATATATTAACAAAAAAAGGATGTACACGGTAGACTCCTGAAAAAGTACAAGGAGGGCAAGACAAGATGTTCCGAAAGGTTCAACGTCTTCTGCTTCATCGACGACAACCGCTATGTAAATTTTCGTCAATCCAAGTAAGAAATGTCACGTTCTTAAATGAGAACAAGGTAAACAATAACAGAACGAACAAGTATACAAATGAGCATGAAGCAAGGTCAGCTCGAGGAAACAGAAAATCACAATCAGATGATTTTAACGGCAACAAAAGTTGGCGATTTGCTGACGAATTTGTTGCTACATTGGAGTAAACGACTGATCATCCAAATTCGAATTTGCATGAAATGTCCTCGTCGGTAATGAAATGTTACCAAGGTCACTGTGTCGGTTTATCACGTGTGGTGCATCCTCAGTCAAAAACACTGGAGTCAGCTGTCAAATACAATCCGGAAGCTTTCGGCTGATTTTAACCTACAGTTCAAGTGCACAAGTACATATATGTACTGTTGTGATTCAGTTGTTCATTGTTGGCAAAAGTGGTATTCATCCGCTACTTCGGCAATGGAATATAATCGAGTTTTAAATTAATATATATTTATCAAAATCAATTCCGGTACATCAGGAAACTTAGTAAATGTTGGGAAATTGTTTAAATGTCAACTTTTAATGGTTTCCATAATGCAGCCGGCAGTGCGAATATAACAAAAACAAAACGTATATAAATACACGCGACAAAGGGATTGGACATTAGGCAGAGCCTATATAAAAAGATCCATAACACAGTTTTACGACTCAAGTCACATTTTACAAACAATAGCATACTCAAGGTAGATATAAGACATTGAAGATTATATATATCGCTGTGTCCAATACAAAACTAAACGTTTAAAAAATGTGCAAAGAAACGATTTTAGTAAATTATTTGGTATTCATTGGTGTCATAGTAAAATTATCAGACGCGGAAATAAATTTTGAAAAAATTAAATAAAAAAAAGTGTCTCGACTAAGCCTCGAACCCTCATTCACAATCGAGAGGTGCCTTGTTCAAAATTAGATAGTTACGACACCATTAATTTACAGACTGCTTGCTCAACATACAGAAGGGAGGTAACCTATAGATAACCCGATAGTATCTTTCTACTTAAGGAAAACGTAGCCGATGAGTTGATGGTGATTGAAGCAGTGAACTATAGACTCTTCAGTCATTCGAATGCTTTTCCAGCAAAACGTAGTAATTGTTTAGACGATTGCAAAATATGATAACAAGCAGTAATCCGTGCCTGAAGCGCGGAAGTGTTTTGAAATTGTTATGTCCAAGTTCCAAGAGACATGACCTTTATTCACATGTATGAAACATTTCTTGATTGCCTTTGTATCATTTCTAAAAAGAGTTGATCAATCTTTCTTAAATTAATTTTTTACTGATTTGTAGAACGTGAAACGAATAACTGTTGGAGCATTTCAATTTTTTTTTCAAGTCACGTACATTCAACATGTGGAACCTATTATTTGCATTTTGTTATTTATCAGTGCAGGGAGACAAAATAAATTAATTTACCCTCTTTTTGATATAGTTAACAATGTTGATTTGATTTGTGTTCAAAACTGAAAAAAATGAAGGATAACTAAAAACCAAACACTTCTTCTGCTTCATCGCCGACACCTGCCAAGTAAACCTTGGTCAGTCGAAGTAAGTAATGTCACGTTCTCAAATGAGAACAAGGTATATAACAACAGCACCAACAGGCAAACTAACGTCCAGTTTCATATTGCACAAAGAAATAAAAAAATATTTCTCCATGAAATAATTTTGGTGACCGTAAAAATTTCCCATAATTTTCAATAACCTGCATCTTTTGAAACCGGGTGGTATGTCTTTGTCCGTCAAATGACGATATCTTGTACGTAAATCGTGATATTGGGAACAGGCCCTTAGATATCGAAGTCCCTGCGACATGTTTATTATACAGCTTGATGGAAAGCTGTTCTTATTGGTTTCGTTGAAGGAAAAGATCGAGATAAGCGGTCGATGAGGAAAAGTCTGTTGTGTGTTTGATTTCCGATCTAGGGCGGGGAGGGTATATACTGAGGACGTGGTAAATAAATCTTTGAACAGAACTTTGCGACCTGTTTGATAAGATCTTCGATAAATTCAGCATCGTATGAAAACAAAAGTACAGCTAACAAGGTGCACAGTTAGTTCCCATACGTGTGCCGATAGTCTGTTCGAAGAACTTAGCACCAAGCTTGATGAAGATGTTGTCAACTGGAAACTCGATACATCTCATGATTTCCTCCATCGTAGTGTATTGAAAAAAAAATTGAAGAAAGGTTGGGACCCTTCCTACATACCCCCCTTGATCAAGCTTGATTGTGTAACAGGAAAACTATACATGTCTCGCCAGGGGACAGAACTATTCACTGGTAAGAACGCTTAACTATAGGCCTAAAGTGAGGCTGTGTCAAGGACACGAGGAAGAAGAAAATATCAAAATTTGATAGAGACAGCAGGTACTTACACCTTCCCGTTGAACAGTTTTACTTTACACATTCCTTAAAACGTACAACCTACAGTACATGTACCTCATATAATAGAACTAGAATTTTACACTATTAATATCTTCTAAGAAATTACAATCTTATTTTATATTTGTCTATCTTTGCTACAGCTAATTAAATTTTCCATTCTTGGTGATTTTAGAACTCAGCTGTAATGAAGCTATTTTATTTTTGTTTTGGTTTTGCAGACATTTAATTGTTTGGTGTCTCTGATAAGGAATTCAAACATTAAATAAAAAGAGCATCTATTTCCGTATATTACAAATACACTTGTATATATGCCTATATCAATGCGGACGACGCCTATATATAAACTAAATGCAGAGAGTGTATCTCCCCCCGTTCTATTCCGTGATGACAAGGGCGATACTCATCGCTTGAAGAGGCACTTGTAATTTAATACAAGTACTGAATACTGTTTATGGATCACGTGATGTGTAACTTTCATATTTGGAGAAAATCATCCTTTAATATTGTAGTGTTGTATCCTCTATAGACAATACATATAAGTACTCATTGTTTTAAAGACCACAAGTTGAAATTTAACATCCATTCTTGATAATGGGACAGTTTAACAAAAACATGTCGACATTCACTGACTTGTTATCATTCATGAAAAGACTGCTGGTGTGTTTATTTGACGAGATTTTAAAAGGATATCATCTAATTTAACTAAACTGCGTGTTATATTAATATTTAGTGAAACTTGTTTAACAAAAAACATGAAATATAAATAAATTTATATCATTTTTTTTCCAAATTTAAACAACAATTTTTATTCACTTTTATTTGTTTGTAACTTTAATGTTTCATGTGAAAATTTCGGCCGCTGTATTAATAATTTGTCCAAAATCAAACCCACATATACTACCATATATTGGCTAAACTAATCATAATGATATCCCTTATTCTTAATCTCTAATCAAAAAAGGTCGAATATCTCTTTTCTTCAATTCACAAATAATGAAATATCGGAAATATGTGAAAAAGACAGTTAATTTCTTTTTGTTTTCCTATCCCAACCCCTAATTTCTTAAGTAAGTAACGGTAATTGACACAAGTGTACTGGGACAAAACAACTGTTACTTACCCTGTCGTAACCACTGTGACGTCACAAGAAAAGTATGCTAGTCATAAGTGATCGTTAATTGGATTACATTAATTAAGTTAACCGTTAGTATGTAAATTTAAACTAAGATGCTTATTGGGACTGTTAACAGATTTCATCATGTTAGAGAAGTTTGTCCACAGCTCAATAGATACGTCACACGAAAGTATCACAGGTATTTCGACTCAAGCAGATCGAACCTTTCTGTCTCCGAAATTATGATATAATGGCAATATTCACAATCACAATGTTGTTATTGATATTTGTTTTTTAATTCTTCATAAATCTTCATAAAACTGGTAGAAACACATTGAATGAGGTGAATTAGATAACCCTCTGGCAATCTTTGATTCATTTCAAAGCTAAACAACGTTTATTAGCTTCACTTACGTTTATCAGTTACACTAATTACGGTCGCCCCGTGCAGTCCAGAACTGTCCGGCACAGCCCGGTGCCGCCCGTTTGTTTAATTCATCACATCCAGGGTGGATGAATTCCTGCCTGTTTTATCAATACATACGTTTTATCTCTGAAATAAACATACAATATCATAAATGTGAATACTGACTTCAAATGACCATGTTCGAGATAGAAAATTTCGATCTCTGGACAAGCGAATCGCGTGTTGTTTCAGCGAGTCGAGAAAGTTTCTCTGTCTGTCTCTTAGCATTTCCCACATATTTACAAATGTTAAAGTGATCTAGTGCTCAGTGGATTGCATATACTTACAGTAATTGGTGTGATTACTAAAACTGCTAAAATATAGATATTTACGGAAACTGTTTAGTGTTTATCTACTATTGTAAAAAAGACAGCCGTGCGTGGTAGAGTATGATAATGAGAACACTTGTGATTATAGCTGGTATTTTTACCGTCACCACGAGACACCTAGCTGTTAAAGACAGTGCTCAAGTGGAGGCAGATAACAAGTGGGCGGCGATATGTCAGATCGCCCGGCGAGATTACAAAGCTCTTCAACATAAAGACAAGGTTGATATGAGGACGATGAAATACCAAGGACTATGTATAGTAAATATATAAAACTCCTACGTATAAAGAAACCTATATATATATATAGTGAAACTTCAAGGCCTTTAAAGAGAGCAGAGAAAATGGTCCTAATAGACAGGTGGCCTTTACAAAGAAGTTCAAGCACTATGAGTTGTATTGAAGCTGTATTGGTCGTTATAGACAGGGTTTTACTGAAAAAACTATGGAAACCAAATGCAAATTTAACTCTTGTCGTTATGATTGCCTCTCCCCCTGTAAGTTAGCACTAGCTTGTTTCAGAAGTGAATTAATCAATACAATTAGACAAGCTAATACGAAACAATCATACCGTTACACTATAACATCTGTATATCTGGACA